GCCTTAGGTTGAACTTGTTAGGTTGGACATCGGTAGCACAGCACCACAAACGAGCCAAGGCTATCTAAGGAATGTCACCTCCACACATCTCTTAACTATTCACAATCACAACATCTGCCAACATCTGCCAGGCAGATGTTGTGATTGTGAATAGTTGAGAGATGTGTGGAGGTGACATTCCTTCAGCCAGTACCCACACACACACAACACCCGACTAAGCACACAGGGGGGACTCCAGCTACCAAAAGCTCGCTTGCAGTACAAAAAGAGATCGCTTTCTTTTTCCGGTGCAGTCCTCTGGAACACACTTCCTCCTAATGTCAGAAATGCAAAAACACTCAGTGTCTTCAAGACTACCTTTTCTTTACTCAACAGTTAATATGATTTGTTGTTAATTTTCCATTTTGCTTTTAGACATTGATATGCAAATTCAGCTCCATTATTATTTATATCATTTGTCATATTTATTTCGTATGTTTTATGTAATTTATTAGTTTGTTCCGTTTCTTTTATCATTACCCTTTGATTGTACTCAATTTACCTTTTATTATGTTATGTTATGTATGTATGACACAGGGAGCTTTGAAAAGCGTCAAAATGGCGATATGCTAACCTGTATAAATAAATAAAATGAAATGAAATGAAAATTTAAAATGTGAAGTGTTCCAACAGTCTATACCCCCTCTATATGCAAATACGTATACGTTGGCCTGCTTTGGATGTGTTGTGCTTTTCTAGTGTGGTACTTGTGTATTTGGTTGTTAATGAATGTGTTGAGTAGATGTCCGGGGGCTAAGCCATGGAGGCATTTGTAAACCATGGTGCAAACATGGCGCGTCCTACGGTTCAGCAGCTGGCTCCACCCAAGTACCCGGTGTAGTTCCGCCGCACTTGACCTGGATTCACGTCTGAGGACGATTCTTGCAGCCCGGTTCTGCAGAACTTCGAGCTATTGCTTGGTGGTTGCGCTGCACTTGTCCCAGACCAGATCACAATATTCAAATACGGTATAGCAAATTTTGTACAACATGTTGGCAACATCAGTACGGAGATAAGGTCTCATTCACCGTTGACTACTAGTAGAACAAGGAGTCGCGCCATCTTACTACACACATTATCCAAGTGGTTATTAAAGCTTAGGCTAGAGTCAAGTAAAACTCCCAGATATAGGAAGCAACTCTCTCTAGAGCAGTGTCATCAATTTTGACTACCAAGCTGGGAGAGGATTTTGTCTTCATGGTGGATCCCATTAACATCCACTTTGTCTTTGAGATGTTGAGCGTTAGTCGATTTGTTTTGAACCAGGAAGCTATCTGTTTCAGCTCTGAGTTTAGTGTATTTTCTATGCATCTATATATAGGATCCTTGTTTACACAAAATATAGCTGTGTCATCTGCATATAGAGTTATTTTACTACTTGTGACAGCTTCAGGAAGATCGTTAATAAATAAGTTAAAAAGTAGGGGCCCCAAGATTCAACCTTGGGGTACCCCAATAGGTAAGGGATCTGAGGTACAACCATTTAGTGATACTCTCTGGTGGCGTTGTGGGAGATAGTAAACCAATCCAGTTCAGTACTTTAGTACTTTCAGGGAATCTCTAAATGTTCATGTTAGGAATCTTTAAAACGGCTCGACATGGTACTTTCGTTTTATTTGCTTGTCTTCTATTAGACGATAAAAGAGTTGGAGTTCCCCCTACAACCCGCCACCCCCGGTGGTGAGTAGGCTAGTCCACTTCTCGAACTGGTTATATCTAGTTCAGTCTACCACATGGCCACATGTTCTCCTCAAGAATACACACTCGTACAAGTACACCACTCGTCTCCTCTGTTCATTCCCTAAACCCTGGGGTTGGATCGTTACAATAGTTCATCGTTATTGGTAGTTACTCTTTTGAAGTAAAAAAAAAAAACTCCACTGCCCCCCACCCCACCAAATATTATCCCAAATATTCGAATTTAGGCTTCTACTTCTAAGTTTTAAACCGCCGAACAAGCCCTAGAAAAAAGCGTTAAAGACAAAAGAATGTCTTACCTGTAGGTCTGTGGTGGTTAGTGGTCTACAAACGTCTAGAATTCCGTAAAATCGCGTCAGTTCTTCGGAGACGATACGAAAGGCAGGCGACGGCGTAAACCAAAATGACGAAGGGTTAAAGGTGAGAGGTCACATACCTAATACACATGGGTGTGGGTCAAACCACAGATCGCCGCTTAACGCAATATTCACATGATTTTGTGGATATTAAAAATGTCGTTCTCTGCTATTTCTACGCGTAGGTGAAACTGTACATAAACGTGTACATATTAGGTATAAATTAAAAATGATCCATTTTGGATGTTGTCTTTTGCTATTTTTGCCCATAAATGTTCGTTTGGGCCGGCTATGCCCTGCAGGTAAAACCAAATTACTAGTACTAAAGCAATGATGTGACAATTATCAGACTAAATAAACTAACACAAAACCGTTGGCTTTGCTAACAGTCATTTTATTATAAGGATTTTTACCGGAAAATTACGTACAAGTATGCACAATTGTTTACGTATACGTAGTGCAGGCGCGGCTGTGGAGGAGAGGGACCAGTGTAAGCGCATGCGGGGTAAGGATTTATTTTTGGACTTATTTTTGAAATAATTTTTTTTTCCTGGGGAAATTTTGCTCAGACAGGCCCAGTTTTGTGGTAAGTAGGACAGAAGAATGTGTATTTTTCAAATCTGCCCAAAAAGTTTGACCTTTGGCAAGACTTGACCTTCTATCGACCCCGAGATGGGTCATGGGTGAATGGACTGTTCCACTTGGACAGGGGATGAAATCCAGGTATAATTTCAGTATTTGGGCTGTATTCAAAAACAAGCAGGAGTCGAACTTCCACTATTTGTACCAAAAGAAACCTGATAAATTCAGCCTTGCAGTGGGGGTAAAGACTTGAGGTTTGGAATAAAAGTAAATGTGTTTTTAATTGCTTGTTTCTAGTGGTTTCACCATAGAATTCCAATGGAAGCTTCATTCACTGGTCCCTCCCCTGGAGGCCTTCATGGCCTCCCTTCCGTAAGGTCCCCACACCTCAGCGATACCCATTGCGGGGTTGTTAGAGGGAAACTAAGAATAAGAATAACGTACAATTACGTACTACTTTGTACAATCACTGACCGGTGTTAATTACTGTATATTAACATTATTTCATCAATACCATAAAGTTTACTGTTTTCCAACAACAATTCAAGATATGTAAAGAAAAGTGGTGGTGTGATGCTTAAACTAATGGACATTTGAAGAAAGTATATGCTATTACCTGAGCCATAGTTTTGCAGTGATTAAAAATTCAGTGTACAAAAGTGCCTGACATTTCGCAAGGAAGAAACCTTTGCCTATTTGCAAAATTATATCATACAATATAATAAACTATATCATACAATATGATAAACTATTGACTCGAGAAGAAGAAGAATATACAATATACTGAGCCTAAATGGTTTCCAAATCAATGTGTTGCATCCAACGTACGTGATTTATTGCTCAGTGTTGGTGTAAGTGAAGTATGGCTCGAACAAAGTGTGGGCAATAAATAAACATTTCTTTGAATTCTTAAAAATAAAACATTGACAAAACAGGCAATCGATCATTGGGAAAATGATATCACAACCAATCACCGCCTGGCCACCTACAGAATGGTAAAAACCAGATTTGTGGTTGAAAATTGTCTTAAAGTAATTCATAATCTTGATCACAGACAGGCGATAGCGCTGTTGAGATGCTCGGCACATGCATTAAATATAGAAAAGGGAAGACATACAAAAACAGAGAAAAGGGAAAGATTATGCCAACCATGTGGAGAAGGGGTGATTGAAGATAAATACCACTTTGTACTTGAATGTGCTTTTTACAACTCACTAAGAATGCGACTTCTTGCCGAATTTTACGCAAAGAGCCCTGATACCCACAAAGTTATAGCATTGTTACCCGGTCCAACTGTATCCATTACAAGACTTTTAATGTTGGTGTCTGTTTTGAGTAATTGTAATTTTAAAACTGAATTACTATGGCCCATTGAGATCAAGTGGCAAAAAGTAAAGAACAAGCTAAAAAATTAGCTTCGTATCAAAAAAGAGAAACTAAACTTAAGAGAAGATTATGCACACTAAATGTCACTACGAGCTGGTCAACGTTGCAGAGTTGGTGCCTGCGTGTGAATTTTCATATGTCGAGATAGAGCAGGCTTGGTGGCTGAAGAATAGCTACACTGGTCACACTTATAAGGGTTTTCTTCTGTATGTTTTTTCATATGTCGGGATAATCTGGACTTTTTAGTTGCCCTGTACCCACACTCCTCACATGTGTAGGGTTTCTCACCGGTGTGTTTTGCTAGATGTAGGTCCAAAGTGGACTTACGTGCTGCCGAATAGTCACACTGGTTACACTTGTAGGGTTTTTCTCCTGTATGGGTTCTCATATGTCGGGATAAGGTTGACCTCACACCTGTCCTGTATCCACACTCCCCACACATGTAAGGTTTCTCACCAGTGTGTGTTGTTAGATGTTGATTCAAACAGGATTTGCTTATTGCAGAATAGTCACACTGGTCACACTTGTGGGGTTTTTCTCCTGAATGCGTTCTCATGTGTCGGTACAACTGAGACTTGCGAGCTGCTCTGTACCCACACTCCTCACATATGTAGGGTTTCTCACCGGTGTGTTTAGATAGATGCAAGTCCAACGAGGATTTTAGTGCTGCAGAATATTCACACTGGTCACACTTGTAGGGTTTTTCTCCTGTATGGGTTCTCATATGTTTAGTTAAGACAGACTTTTCTAGCTGTCCTGTACCCACACTCCTCACATATGTAGGGTTTCTTTCCAGTGTGTCTTGTGAGATGATTGTCCAAGGCGGATTCTGGGCAGCAGAATATTCACACTGGTCACACTTGTAGGGTTTTTCTCCTGTATGGGTTCTCATATGTTTA